ATAAAAAAACATGATAAGAAATGTACTAAATCATAGGTACAAGTGTAACTTTACTTGTACGTAATTAATTTTGTAACTGCAGGATAAGAACTTGGTTTTCTAATAAAGCTAAAGCCTTACTTATTTAATTGTCATAGTTAATTAATATTCTCAATGGTTAATTACATATTACATATTTTCTCTTAACCACAATATGGGATATTAATAAGTAATCACTTCATGATTCTTAAAAAGTTTAAATAAAGCCTTGGTATCTTAAAAATAATTTAATATTTGTAATTATATTCTTCTTAAATATTTTACATAAGTTCTTTAATAAAAAAAATTGAAATTTCAATGTATTATTTTAAAAAATAATAAATAAATTAGTAAGGATATAGTTAAAAAATAATTATAAAAAATATATAATATTCCATATGTTTTGCCAAATAAATTTTTTAGAAGACGTGCAGTACTATGATTGAGGGAGAAATGATTAAGAAGTTTTGGGGCCAAATAAAGCCCCTTAAAATCAATCAAAAAAGAAATATTTTTGGATCTTCGTGGAAAATCTTAACTTCATCGTACAATGAACCGCGTCTGAAAAGCAGAAAAAGTGGCAAATTGGAAAAAAAAAATGCAGAAAAAGTTCATTTGACTGAGTCAAAAAGACTTAGCAAAAGATAAATTTTTATTATTTCGTTAAAATTTTTACGCCCTTTTGTGAAAAGATGTCAATAAAATCTTTTAAAAATATATAAATAATAATTAAATTTTTTCTGTTCAAAATATAATTAATTTTTTTAAAATACCATAATTTTTTTAAAATTTTGAGATATCTTTTTTATATTAATAATTTTAGATTAAATAACTATTATCCCTTGTTTAATATAGAAAAAAATAATAGGTACACGTAAAAAATTATAATTTTTTGTTTAATTTTTGTAATTCACAAAGTAAAAATTATGATCATTTAAACAAAAACTATAATTAATTATTTTTAAAATATAAATTTCAATGATAAAAAAAATCACATGGAAAGTTGCAATTTTTTGTTGAATTCTTACGATACACAAAATAAAAGTTGTAATTGATTATTTTTAGAATTTAAACTTTAATAATAAAAAAATTTTACTTAAAAAGTTATAATTTTTTATTTAAATTTTATAATTTAAAATAAAAGTTGTGATTGTTCAAATAAAAGTTATAATTTTATTGGTAAAAAAAATAAAATTTATAATTAAAATTAATTATTTTTAGAACTTATTTATTAATTATAAAAAATTTTGTGAGCAAGTTATTCAATTTTTACGATTCACTGAATTGTTGTGATTGAGAAAATAAAAATACACCTGTTATTTTTTTTTAAAACAGATAATAATTTAATTATTTAATCTAAAATTACTAATATCAAAAAGGTATATAAAAATTTTACAAAAATTATAATATTTTAAGAGATTGAATTATTATTTATATATTTTGATGGGCTTTTATTATCATTTTTTGAACTTCCTCTCTTCATTGCTAAAAGAAAATTTTTAATTAGTTTGAAATAAAAATAAAAATGAAGAGTTTTTTTTTTATTTGGACATAAAGGTTAAGTATTTTTAATTACTTTAAACAAGAAAAACCTAAAAAAGAAGGTGATGTTGACTTGCAGTTGGGGACGAAAGTTTTTCAAAATTTCATGGAAATTTCTTCTTATTTTAAACAAGAAATTTCCACCAACAGTTTTAACGCGCAATAAGAATAATGACTCACTAGACAAGGATCATTAGCACACTTTTCTACTTCCTGGAAATTTCCCTGTTAAGTTAATTTGAACAAAGGCTCAATATTATGGAACTTATTTATACATTACTAACACTTAAATAAATTAAATATGTGCATCAGTTATGGTCATATGTTTAAATGAATTATTTGTTAAAACTCAAATAGAAGTTTGTTTATGTATGACCAACACATGAACAATTAAATATGTACTATTAATTATAATTAATTGTTAATTTTAAATGAGTTATTGTTAATTATATGTAAGATTACTTGTTAAAACTTAAATAGATGTTTGTTTATGAATAACTAATACTTGTACAATTAAACTTATATTATTAAATTTTGTAACTTATTCATTTTTAAATAAATTATTATTAATTATGTATGATTATTTATCAAAACTCAAATGAACCATTATTTATGCACACATCTATATAATTTTAAGAGATTTTAAGAGTGTTTAGATCTTTTCTCATAAAAATTTTATTTTCATGCAGGCACTGGGGATTGCAGTAAATTTTTCAGGCCCTTCTCTTTTGCTTTTGGCCAAAAAAAAAAAAAGGTCCTTGTCTTATATAAAATCTCTCCGCGGATTCTTGGATAACATTTTCTCCCAAAAAAGAGAAAAGTTTTTCACCGGGTCAAAAAGGGCTTATGATTCATGAAGATTATTTTTTCATATTTTGTTGAAATTTCTGCGTACCTTCCTTTTTTATTTTCAGTTGGTACAAGAAAGTTTTGCTCAATTTAAACAAAACTAGAAACACAAAAGAGAAAAGGCTTGTACTCATTTGAATACAATAAGAAAATTGAAAAAGTTGTTCTGTTTTTAAAATTTGTTTTCTATTTTTGAAAATAAAAAATTTTAAAACTCATTTAAATAAGTGTTACAAATTTAATTGTTTCCTAAATTACTTTCATTTTTTGCTTTAAAAAAAATAGAAACATTTTAAGGTTATTTTTTATTTTATTTTTCATGTTTTACAAGATACATTTTAAATTTGATTATTTAAAATTATAATCATTTCACCAATCACTATCATAAACTACCATCATTACTCATTAGCCACTAATTATTGTCATTATTAGGAAAATTTTATTTTTAGATTATTTTTAAATTAAGCTACTTAAATATACTTCTATTTTTTTGTTTTGAAAACAACTTTCAAAAATTGGTTTACAAAATAATTTTTAAAAACAAAAAGTGAGAATAAAAGCTAAACAAGTCCTTGATTATTCTCTTACGTTCTTAATGAAAGAAAAATTTTGAAAAGCTCATTTTCTTAATATAATTGAAGTTAGATTAGTTAATTTTATGTTTCAATAGTACCCATATTTATTTATTATAGTTTGGATTCTTAAATATAAATTTATTATGATTATTATTAAGTTAATGATTATTTTTACCCCTCTGCTATTCATTTAGGAGTATCTAATATTTTAAACTTTCATATGGTATAATTCCTCTTTCAAAATTTGGAAATAATACATTAAACACAAGGTCATTAAAAGAGTTAATTTTGATTATTAGTTGACTTAAAAATAACTTCAAAAATGAAAAAAATCCATAAAATACACATAAATACCTTCTAAAAAATAGAAAAAATTAATTATTTAGTCTATGTAATTTTGGTTCAATTATAACCCAATTCCTAAACTTTGACTCATTGTAACACAATTCCTATAGTTTTAACTCGGTTGTAACTCAATTCTTGAATTTTCCTTTTACAATTAGTCCCTATAGTTTTAACCACTTAAATATTGATTCTTATATTTTAAAAATAAAAGTGTAAAGATTAAAAATATTTTAAGCCTTTAATATTTATAATATTTATAAATATTAAAAGGGTTTAATAATTTAAAATATTAGCAATAAATTTTAACATAATTATAATCTTATAATTTTTTTACTAATATTATAAATATTAAAATTTCAAAATATTATAATTTTAATCTTTTAATTTTTAAATATTATAAATAATAAAGATTCAAAATATTTTTAATCTTTATAATTCTATTTTTTTAAAATATAGGGATCGATATTTAAGTGGTTGAAACTATAGGAACTAAATTGCAAGAGGCAAAGTTTAAAAACTGAGTTACAACCGAGTTAAAACTATAAAGACTGAGTTATAACGAATCAAAGTTTAGAGATTGAGTTACAACTAAGTTAAAATTACAAAAATTAAATGATTAATTTTTTTAAAAAATAACATAAATTAAGTCTTCTAAATTGTGTGTGTGTGTGTGTGTGTGTGTGTGTGTAACAGCATAAGAAATGTACTAAATCATATGTACTAGTACAACTTTACTCTTACTCTTCTGTGATTAATTTTGTAATTTCATGATAAGACCTTGGTTTTTTAAGAAAGTTAGAGCCTCACTTATTCAATTGTCATATATTCTCAATAGTTAATTGTTAATTACTATCACATACTTTCTCTTAATCACAATATAAGATATTAATCAGTAATTACTTCAAGGTTCTCAAAAAAATTTAGGTAAAACCTTAAAAAAAATTACATTTTTAATCATATCCTTATTAAACACTCTATATAAGTGTTTTGATAATGGCAATTTAAATTCTAATATATCATTTTTTTTATAAAATAATAAATGAATTAGTAAGGATATAGTTAAAAAATAATTATAAAACATATTTAATATCTTATATTTTAGATAAAATAATATTTTTAGCTGATGACATATATTATAATGGGAGGGAACAATAATTAAGAAGTTTTGCGGTAAAGCCCCTTAAAATCAAACAAAAAAGAAATATATTTTTTCTTATTTGGACGTGGGAAACAAATAAACAATCTTTGTACAGACCCATTTTTGTTACATCTTCATGGAAAATCCTACTTCATAGTACAATAAACCGTGTCTGAAAACCAGAAAACGGACCCAAAAAAAAAAAAACAGAAAAAAACACATTTTGACAGAGTCAAAAAGAATCAGGAAAAGATAAATTTTCATATTTCTTTGAAATTGCTACTCACTTTCTTCTTTAATTAATTTATTTTCAAGACTTTCTAAAAGTTTTTAATTACTTTAAACAAGAAAAACTCAAAAGAGAAAGGGCTGTTGACTTGTAGTCAAAAAGAGCTGGGGACCAAAGTTTTTCATTATTTCTTGGAAATTTCTTCTTATTTTAAACAAGAAATTTCCACCGACAGTTTTATCTTTCAATAAAAACAATGCCTCACCAGTCAAGGCTCATTGACTCATTTGTCTACTTCCTGGAAATTTCCTTGTTAACTTCAATTTGAACAAAGGCTCAATATACTCAGACTCATTTTTCTGTTGTGTCGATCTAATTCGCAGGATAAGCAAATTCGCCCAATCAACTTCAAGACTTCAACCTTTGATTTGATTTAGTTACTCCCACCAAGGTATTCTTCTGATCTTTCTCCCTCCTTCCCTAACAACTTGAACGCTTTTCTTTCTGTGTCTTTTTAAAATCAACAACCTATAAAACTTTGTTTTTTTGTTTTTGGTGCCTCAGCAATGGCTGTGTTTGCTTCTGCTTCTTCTTCCCGAGTGAAATATGATGTTTTCATCAGCTTTCGAGGTTCAGACATCAGATCTGGTTTCCTCAGCCATTTAACAAAGGAGCTGCGTCGAAAGCAGGTAGACGTCTATGTGGATGACAGGCTGGAGAGAGGAGATCAAATATCGTCTGCACTTGACGAAGCCATAGAAGGATCAATGATTGCGTTGGTCATATTCTCCAAAGATTATGCTTCTTCAAAGTGGTGCTTGCAAGAGCTTGTCAAAATCATGGAATGTAAGGAAGCAAGCGGACAAATTGTGTTACCAGTTTTCTATTGTGTAGATCCTTCAGATGTCAGGCGTCAAAAACGAACTTATGCAGATGCATTTGCACATCTTGAACTGAAGTTCAAGGATAACTCAAACGAGTTGAAAAATTGGAGATCTGTCTTGAAGAAAACCGCAGACTTATCTGGTTATCATTCATCAAATTTTCAGTAAGTTTTAGTTATTCAATACATCATTTTATAGAGTTTCTAAAGCCCTTTCTTAGTTACCCCCAAAATGATTTAGAATATGGTAATACCAAATTATGTCTATGCATTTATTATTCTTATATAATGAGTAGCTCGTAATAATTTTATTTTCTTTTATTTTTAATATGCTAGAAACGAATCACAGCTCATTGATGCAATACTCCAAGATGTCCTAAAAAAATTGGAAGATAACAACCCGGTTGCGCCACAATCCCATCTAGTTGGATTGGATCAAAATCTCGCCATTGTTGAATCATTAATGAAAATTACGTCACAGGAAGTTCTACTTCTTGGTATTTGGGGTGTTGGTGGGATAGGCAAAACAACCCTGGCTCGAGCTACATTTGACAAATTCTCTTCTCAATTTGAAAGCTATTGCTTCATAGAAAATGTGAGAGAGGAATCAACGAAGAGCAATGGTTTGAGTCATTTGCGTCAAAAGCTTCTTTCTAAGCTATTAGACCAAGATGCAGGTCTCCCCATAGATATGAATTATGCAAGGAGAAGGCTATCACGAAAAAGAGTCTTGATTGTGCTTGATGATGTATCCAATTCAAAGCAATTAAAAGATCTAGCTGGACAACAACTTTGCTTGGGGCGTGGCAGCAGAGTAATTGTAACAAGTAGAGACAAGCATGTTTTTAGGATTGGAGGGATTCATGATGAATATATACATGAAGTCAAGGAGTTGAATTTTGAAGAATCACTAAAACTTTTTAGTTTACATGCCTTCAAGCAAACTCACCCTAATGTGGGATATGAAAGGCTATCAGAAATGACAGTTGCCTATGCTAAAGGCATTCCTCTAGCTTTAGAAGTTTTGGGTTCCCATTTTCATTCTAGAGATAAGGCATACTGGGAGAGTGAGCTTGAGAAACTTAGAAAGTGTCCCCATCCAGAAATTCAAAATATATTGAAAGTTAGTTATGATGGATTAGATGACATGGATAAGGAAATATTTTTAGACATTGCATTTTTTTTCATTGGAGAAGAAAAAGATAGAGTTATTCATGTGCTAGAAGCTTGTGGTTTTAAAGCAGTTAGTGGAATACAAAATCTCATGGATAAATCTCTCATAAAACCAGGTTGGCTGAATGGTAAAAGTACTGAAATGCATGATTTGATACGAGAAATGGCTAAGCAAATAGTTCGTGCGGAATGTATTAAAGATCCTGCATTACGTAGCCGATTAAAAGATACAGATGAAATTTATAATGTATTAGAAAGTAACATGGTAAGTGAAATTTATATCATTTTTTTTATTTTTCTAGAACAATTTTTATAAAAACTAATATTATATTTATTTTGTTTTTTGTTCAGGGAACTAATAAAATTGAAGGCATCATATTGGATTTGGATCAAATCAAACATTTACAATTGGACCCAGACACCTTTGCAAAGATGAAAAATTTAAGATTTCTCAAAATTTTTCACCCTAAACCACGGATGATTGAGCACAAGACATATCATCATATAGAGCTTCCTTTTGGTCTGGGCTCTTTTCCAAAGAAATTAAGGTATTTTTATTGGGAACAATATCCACTGAAGTCTTTGCCGTTGGGCTTTAATGGTAAGAACCTTGTTGTACTTCATATGACAGACAGCAATATTAAAGAGCTTTGGGATGGAGTGCAGGTATTTATACACACACACTAATTAATATGTGTATCTCTCTCTCTCTCTTCAATTTAATTAAATTATTAGGCTTTTATGTGAAAAACTTTTCCATTTCCATTGTCACAGGATCTTGTGAATCTAAAGACATTAAATTTGTTTAGGTGTAAACAATTGGTTGAGCTGCCTAATTTCTCTATGGCATATAATCTTGAAGAAGTCAATCTCTGGATGTGTGAAAGTCTACATAGTATTCATCCATCTATTTTATCTCTCCAATCTCTTGTTAGATTGAATGTTTGTTTTTGTCGGGAATTAGAAAGTCTTGAAAGTGAGACTCATTTAGAATCTCTCTCTTACCTTGATTTTGGCTTTTGTAAGAGCCTCCGGAAATTCAGTTTGTCATCAAAGAAATTGGGGAGTTTGTATTTCAGTGAGACTGAAGTTGAAATATTGCATTTGCTGCCAATGGGAGGTTTCACGGAGCTCAAAATCCTTGTGATTTATAAGGGTGAAAGATTAAGGAGTCTTCCGATAAGTGAGCTATGTGGCTTGACAAATCTTGAGAAATTTAGAATTTTGAATTTCCAACAGGTGATCCACACAACAGAGCTGCGCTCTCTTTTTGATGCTTGGCGTAATTTAAAAGACCTAAGTTTGGAAAGATGCAGTTACTTGCTGGAAATCCCTGACAATATCAAGGCCTTAACAAGCTTGAAAATCATGATCTTGAAAGACTGCGAGAGGCTTAAGTCTATACTTGGACTTCCTCCCTTCCTTAAAGTATTATATGCTGGAGGATGCACTTCATTAGAGATTGTATTCTCTGATTCTCTAGTTCAAAATCAGTGTCAATTTCATTTCGATGATTGTATAAAGTTGGATGAGTGTTCTCTTCGCTTCATTGAGAAACTAACTCATTTCTCTTTGACTTCAGCCTGTGAGGATAAGAAGCTTCGTTTTGTTTGGGCTTGTTACCCCGAAAGCAGAGTTCCAAAATGGATGGAATATAAACATCAGATAGAGGCTTCCAATGCTATGGAAGTCATCTGCAATCTCAAACGATCACCCATCATATTGTGTTGCTGCATTGTTCCTTCTCATCTTTGCTCACCTAAAATGTTGACGATCTACTGTGATTTCTCTTATGATGATGACAACAAATTCCGCAGTTCATTTTTTGCTTCCTCCCTCCTTAAAATGAATTCGGATTGTGTTTGCATATGGCACATGGAATTGGAAAGGGATTCGTTTGGTGCTGGAGCAGGTGATGTTGCCAAGATTTCATGTGAATTCTCTGCGGACTATTACGTTGATTTTGATCATGGAGAGGTAGAGACAGTTCCAATGAAAGCATGTGGAGTGCACGTGACATATAACTCACAGTCAGACTCGGATGAAGAGCGACTCCCTCCAACAAATCTCATGACGACTTCACCTGTCACCCCTTGCAACTAAAATTTATACACAAGCAAACAAAAGCATCACCACCCACACGTACAGTTTCTTTCATATATCTTTACAAGTATCTCTCCCTTCTTTGCTTTTTATTTATAAGCTCACCTTCACTACTATCTTAAAATCACTCTTGATATAAAAAAATTAATTAGATATTTCTTCTGTGCTTAGATATACTAAATGAAAGTGGTAAATTTTTTACAATATTGTATTTATTATTTCAATATTTACATCTTATTGAAAAAATAAGTATGCCCTTTTACTCAGAGTCCTTTTTTTTTTTGAACAATTCTTTAATATGTGTGTGTGTGTTATTTATTATTTCTCTACATAGTTTTTATACAGCATAGTACTCTAACATGGATAATAACTATTGTAAATTATACCGACAATATATACAAAACAACATACACGCACAAAGATATATATATATATATATATGTTGGAGATAGATGTAAATTTTTTTATGAGAGTGTACTTTTGCTATCTACTTTGTTTTATTTTTCTATTTATTGATTGATCTTGTATTTACATTTTATTTGTGAGGATAATATTTTCTGAATCACCAAATTTTTCTAACATGAATAACAAAATTAAATTTATTGGTCTTTATTGTGTAAATAGGAGGTAACAATGTAAAACTCTCCTAACATGAATAAAAAATTAAAAAAATGTAATTATTTAGATAGGTAAAAAAGACTCAGAAATTTTAAAAAATAAATGAACTAAATGTTGTTTAAGGGACTAGATTAATAAAAATTAAACTAATTTAAAATTTAACTTATTTTTATTTAGTTACATATGCATATCAAGTTATTAAAATACTTTATATATTACATTAATTTGAGATAAGAAAACACCAAGAAGTAAAGTGTAATATAGTATTCACAGAACCCAAGGTTTATTATTCCTTACATAGAGAAGTTTTTCAGAGCTTAAACAGAGGCCACGTGTACAATGATAATGAACAATGACAATTGAATACAATCAGATGGATTCTTAGTTCTAGTGGGCTGAGCCCTTTGGTCCATGTGTTATTATCTTGGACTTAAGTCTGTTGGGTTGAGCCTTGTTCTTGGACTTGATTAATGTTTTGACATAATAAATTTGTGTTTTAAAACATAAGAAACCAATAAAATGATAATTTAAGAAAATATAAAAGAATAAATAAATCAAAATTAAACTTAAAAAACTAAATAACAGAGACAAATTTGACAGATTAAAAATTTTATTATCCCTTTTATTTTTTTCCTCAGCTTTTATTACCATGAAGAAAGTTTCAAAATATATCTTTGTTTTTTTGCTCCTTATCCTTACCTTAATAGACTGTTTAATGCCTCTCCTTTTCTTTTTTTCTCTCTTCCCAGTCCAGTAATGCATTGTTATCAACTTCCTTGAATGCTTGTTTGTTACTCAATTTGTGTGGCTTGGGCAGATCTTTTGGCATCTACCTATTAAGAATAATAATGTTTCCCTAATGTTTTAGTTTGTTCCCGGAATTATTAATGTGAAGCTTTCACCCAGTAATTGAGTTAGAGGTTAGAGGTAGGAATTTAATCACTCAGTAAAGTGAACTCAAGTTTTGAGCAAATATTTTCCATCCACACTAATTGAGGGACTTTGTGACGGCCTTGTTATGAATTTGTTGTGATTTAGGCTGGGAGCATTTCATCAATTGTTTTTTGGCCCCTGACATGGATATATTTGGTTTGTGCAGTGCGGTTGCTTCTTGTCCTAAGATCAAGTCCAAAATACAGTAGTGAAGAGTCTTTTGCTGATGATCATTGAAGTGTTTGACATGTGATATGTACCAGGAGTACCATTATTGTAACACTTTTTTGTTTAATTTCCTTATAACAGAAACACCATTATTCTCTTTTACTCAACTAGCCGTTGGCTGCATGTGAGCATCGCATAGTCGTTTTATATGGAACAAACCAGTAATTCATTCATGTATTTAAATATCATAGCAGTAAACAACCCCATCATGTATGCATACAAGGGCCTTGAATCTGATGCGCAAATTGCCAGAAGAGGAGTTATAGATGCATTTTCTTGTTCCCTAAATTAGTCCAAAATTGCATTCCTAGTTGCTATTCATGTCTTCCTTTCTAGTTGGGCTCTTCATGTACCCATTTGATGTTGAGTAGGTGAGAATTAGGCCTCTTTACTTCATCCATGTGCAATTCATGACTTTTTTTGGGCCTTCCAAATATGTTGGATATAGACTTCTAATAGATACTTAAACTTTTAATTCTTTTTATTGTTATTGGGCCCTTCAATAACATTGTTCCTTATAGTCTACAATTTCATGGGTTGCGTCAAAGTATAGTTCTATATACTTCCATATGGATGGAAAATAGACTTGTTATAATTAACAAGTCCAATTTCTTGAAAGCAACTCTTGTTTTCATTTGCAAAAGTTGCGTTTTGTGGATTGATATTGTATTTTTTTAAAAAAATCATTTTTGAATCACCAAAACAAGCATATATCAAAATTGGGTTCATTGAAGGTCAATTAGGACGCACACGCTAAGCCTCTCGGTAAAGTATAGTAGCTATTTGGTCTTTGCATTGTTAGGAATACGTTTGTGATACAAATAATTCCTTCTTCACTTATTCTATGAAGAAATGTCAATCTGCCTTAATGTGTGCTTAATGATGGTCATGAAATTGACTTGCTGAAATTTTAGTTGGAAGTATATAGAGGATTTGTATAGAAGGATTTGCTTCTCTCTCACAAATATATTTGGTTTGTACAATTGCTTCCTAGTTGAACCAAGTCCAAAATACCATGAAGAGATGAAGAGACATTCTCACCTCTCATGACGTTTAATTAGCAAGGGGCTAATGGGCTCTCCTCTAGGGTTTTCCAAGGGGAAGCCATGGACAAGTCCCATGATAGTTAGATCCACCATTGTGTGTTGAAGATATCCATAGAGTCAAGTGATCTTCTTTCTATCAACAAGCATATGATCGCTAGTCGGAGGAGACCAATTAACTTTATCAAGCCAAAAGAAAAGGGAAGGATATGGAAGGATTGAGAATCGGTAGAAGTGTCAAGAAGGAACCATAATACAGAAAGAACTTTTCTACCTTAATTAATCAACTGGTGATCAAAAGTAATACAACTAGCTCAAAAAAGTTTAATTTAAGTTAGTGGATTCCATGAGTGTGTACATGTAGTATCTAAGTGGATAGCAAATCAGAAATTTATAAAACAATCCTCTATGTAGTCACAATCAAAAATAA